GATCAATAAAATCAGGTATGCTGTTCAAAGGGGTAACCAGCTGATAAATTTTCCTGAAGCAATAACCACAGTGACTGGACAAATCCCACTTCCTCTGCCAACTCCATCTTTTAAGTTGTCTGCACTGCTCATGATTTAAATTTGTTTGTAATCAAAATCTGTTTTTTGTTAAGGTTTTAAAGTTATATATTTCACATAGATCACCATTAGTATTTTCCACTGGTAACAAAGTTAATTTATTAAAGTTTTACTGCTTATTATGTTTTAGTTCCTATAAAGAAAATGGGACAGAGTGATGCTGTGTCACGTGGTTTTCCTCTTTGTGCACAGTTCACATGAAACAAACATTTAAATATGGTAACTGGAGCAACTAATCAGGAAAGGAACAACAAATCAGATACATACTAAAGGTTTACATTGATGTGCAAAGTGACGTTAGTGTTATTTAAGTCTTCTGAATTCATGCTTTATCTTTTAAACAAGTTAAAGTTATTTTAGTAGAAAGTAAATTGTCAGTCTTCACTTTATTCAAAAAACTCAAAATGGTAAAGAAGAAAAAACATGTTAGTCTCCCAGCTTAATGCATATTTTCGATATGATCAGGAAAATGTGAGACTATTTATGCCTCCTATAAATAATAATTTGTGCTCTCAGTATTTAGATCTGGATCTTTTTCCAAAATTAAATACTTACTTTTACTTTTATATTTATTACATTTGTTATATATTTTTGTCTAGGAAATCAAGGAAGGTACTTTTTCCCCACCTATGTGATATCTATTTCTCTCTTAACTACTGTAGTATGGTATATCTTTTTTATTCTACTATGAATCCTACTTAGGTTACAGATATGAAAATCATACATTTCATTACAACACCAAATAAATATTTAATTGCACTAATAACATTTAGATGATGTAAGTACCTATCCATCCTATTAAAGTGATGACCTCAGAAACATTTATCAGAAGCTCTTCTTAAAAATAGCTGTAAAAATATCTGTTCTAAATGAATGGAAAAATATTCTGTGTAATCAGGAAAATGGAATCCCATCAAAGAAAGCAGAAAGTGGGCAGCTAATATCTGACATGTTGATATATAACTTCCCCTTTTGTCCTCCACAATCATGAACACCTCTAAATCTTAAAAATAAAAATAGAAGGAAGAAATGGGGCAATGAGAAATATTTCAGGCAAAAGGTAAGGACTGTATCTTGATAAAACATCTTTTTGAGCACAGACACCAATGGTATTTGGGAGGCCACTGAACAGTATTGTCTTTGTTTGTATTCTAGAATGGCACATTTGCATTCTATAAATACTATGAATTCACTGAGTTTTCCCTGGAACCTTATAGAAGGCTACTTATCTTAAATCATTAAACCTAGAAATACTTGGGAAAATCATGCTTAGTTATTTTTGTGAGCATAGAAAACCCAGGTAGTACCTCTCTGGGCCTCAGTTTCCTTATCTGTAAAATGGGGATAACCATAGCATTGACCACATAGCATTATTTAAAGTGTGGCATAAGTAAAGTAAAACACAGAGCTTCACCCAGAGTAAGCAGTAAATAAGTGTTAGCTATAATATTTCATGCATTTTCTTATATTGTATATACTGTAGGCAGATTAAATTCCCTACCGAATTGTAAGCATCTTGAAGGATGAGACTGAGGCTTTCACAACTTTGTATTCTCTGTAACACCCATGCTAAATCTTGAAGCATTAGTCAACAGTCAATGAATGTATTTTGAAAGGAAATTCAAGTAAAACATCATGTGATTAAACAATTTAGTAGAAAAGAAGTTACAGAAAATCCCTCCATTTGATCAGGAAAGTCAATACAGAGTTTTGGACAACCAAAATATGAGTGTCTGGATTATGACTTAATTTGGGACTAAATGAAATAGAAGGGTACTTCTGGATGATGCCTTTGGGCCACATGAGTCCCAGCCCTAGCTTAATGGGGAATTTTTGTCAGGTTATACTACTTACCTATGCCTTCATAAAGATCATACACACACACTAACCTGTGAGGAATCTTACTTACTCCTGTTAGAGTAGCTATGAATATCCCATCATGCAGATGAGAAAAAAGAGACTGAAAAAGTAAAACGACATGACAGAGAAGCAAAGCCAACTCTTGAGCCCAGTTCATTTTACTTTATATGTGCTGTGTGTGCGTGTGTGTGTGTGTGCGTGTGTGTGTGTGTGTGCGTGTGTGTGTGTGTGTGTGTCCTATCTTGTGTATGCCCTGTCTACCTTGTAAAGCTGTCGTGGGAAGTGATATGAAGTAATAAATATGACAGTGGTTTGAAAAGTACAAAGTGCATCTATTACCATTATTTGTAAAATTTAAATTTATTGTACATCTTTCTAGCAGACTAGATATGTTTGGCATTTGGTTTTGTTAACCAACTCTCTCCTCTAACTCTCCTCATCTCAAGGTATGGTTGGGGAGAGAGAGAGAGAGAGAGAGAGAGAGAGAGAGAGAGAGAGAGAGAGAGAGAGGGGTGATGGTTATGTTAATACATAATTGAGTAAATTGGAAGCCTTGTGCCAAGGAAGATCTTGGGAAGAGGAACAGTTAAAATCTTTTTGCACTTCACAGGCATTCTTTGTGAGACTCAGTACTTTCATGTCTGCTGTGCTAACTATTCAATTGAAATAATTTGCCTCAAGAACTTCTGCGACTCAAACCATTCTGCAGAAAACAATCATTGTCCTTTAGAACATTTCACATTCTGGTAGAGTAGCCCTGGCCATTCTGTGAAACGATTGTGTCTACAAAGTACGGTGATTATGAGCATAAAATTTCTAACACAGAGAAAGTAGTCTTTTAAAAGTAAACTTAGAATTGGGCAATCTATATATAAAAAAGAGATTTTGTTTAATGCTCTCACATGCTTCATTGGTTGTCTATTGTGATAATGTTACCCTTATTTATAGCTTTTGTGAGTCCTAAATCTAATACTGTTAAGAGATGGATAGGGTACTTACAACATTTCTTCTATCAATGATACTATTTGGACTTGCCTGGAGAGTTTTTCTAAAGACCTGACCTAGCAGGGCAGCAATACCAAAGAAAACTGTTTTCAAATGGTTTCAACTAAAAATTGATTTATGATGAAATGTGAATTTTGTGCCATTTTAAAGTTGAAAGACACTAGAAGCAGATTTAGCATGGCTACAGGGAAAAAGAGGCAGACTTACAAAATTATTGGTGGAATTTTGCTATAACTCCAGGGCTGGAGTCAGAAATTCCCATAGGATACTTTCATCCCCCCCAAATCACCACTGGCTTGAGGCTGAATTAAAGGGATGGCACTTCAGTGGAAAGAACATTGGATAGAGGATCAGGAGATCTAAATTCTCCCTGGCAGCTACCCCAATAGAGTGATGAAGAGAAGAGATAAAAAGGAGGATGAAAAGCTGGAGTGTCAGGGTTGAGCTACTTGATTCCCTCGTTGCTGTGTGGCATTTATACTCTGATTTTCAAAGATACCTTCTTCATCCCCAGTCATCGTCCTGTGAAACCTTAAATGTGTTTTCAATTGTTATCTCACTAGAATAAGTTATGAATTCTTTCAAGCATATCTATGGAGCTGAGTATATAACTCATTCCAAAATTATAGGTAATGTTACGTAACAACAACTAAACTGTTTTCTTTCAAAATAAAGTGTCTCTATGATCTGGTACAGTTCTAGATATATAGCAGGTGCTTGATAATCACTTGATCTCCACATTTTTGTCTACATTTATATATTGTCTGTATATATGAGGGTACTTCAAAAAGTTCTTGGAAAGATTCACATTATCTTTTAATTCTGTTTTTCCATGAATTTCTCGAAGTACCCTTACTCTACATTGTGGCAGGTTTAGGAGTTAACAGAATTGTCTCCGTGTGTAAGTATTTGCTAGAGTTGCTAAGACTGGTTGATAGAGATTTCAAAGTGGTAATGACGGTACCTCAAATATACAAGTAGATCCCTAAGGAGCTCTTACAGTGGTTGTGAGATGACTCAGTGGTAAGCCCAAGCATAGAGGCTGGTGTAATCGACATTAGTTAAAGGGAGGGCAGACTGTGGGTTGTCTTTACCACATGAGTGTGTTTTCAAGGCTAAATGAGGGAGTATATGTTAATGGCTTAGAGTGCTTTCTACGGATGTTATAAAAAACATCTTCAAGTTATCTATTCCCAGTCATATTCTCTGTAAGCTAGGTCTCTATCAAATTTATAGGGTTGCCTTTGGAATCAATCTAGATTCCAAATCAGAAGAAAGATATCTGAATCTATCCAGAAAATCAACATCGGGCCCTGTTATTTTCACAGGAAAATGACGTGTCCTTGAACAGAATCGAATTACTTATACAAACCCAACATATGGTGGAATTCAAATAACATTTTGCATTTTCTACCTTGCCTTAGAATTGTTTCTGAAGACACAATTTTTCCCTTGCTAATTTTAGATATTTAGTTATGAAATGCTTTGTTTTTCCATATAGAGTCACTGCAGCAAAGAGTCATGACAGTCCAGAAAGCATTTAAAACAAATGTATTAAACAAATGACAGTTTATTTTAAATTTCATGCTATTGATTAGAACTTCACCTTGTATTTTGCACTCGCAGAAAAGCTGGTCCTCCACCGCACAGTGTAAAGTCTCACCTCGGACGTTTTTTGGTTCTTAGGGACAGAGTTGTCTGCCCAGCTGACCCTCACGGCATCGTGAGTAACAGCCACGGCCTGTACACCTACTGGTGGGAGCATGGGGGTGGAGATATCTGGGACCGAGGTGGGGAAATCATCAAGCAAAGGATAATAATCAACTGGGTCAGTGGGATCTGGGTTCCAAAACCCGCCAAATGAAACAAACAGATAAATAAGTAAATAAAAGCGTTAAATAAATATCAGTGGTAACACATCACAATGAGTTAAATGCATGGCAATAATGATGAAAGGGAACATGAGGAGAACAGAAAAAAAATGCAATTAATTCAATCGGAAAACACATTAGAAACATATTGCTATATTACAAAAATAACTGAATATTTTCCATAATATACTCGCTTCCTTAGAGTGATTCTTATCAATTTGCTCATCACTTCTGGTTATATATATTAAAAGTTCACTTTTTTTTGGAATGTTGCACATTGTTTCTAAAAGAATCTACTATAGAGTTGAACAATTTTTTTTTACTATATAGATAACTTAAAGTAACAAGATATAAAGGGGTTTCTGGTTTATTTCCTTCTGCAAAGGAAAACATTTTTTCCTCCTTCTCCTTCTTATCTAACCTAATTGGGTTTCTTTAATATTTTTATTATTGCTTAGCTTATATCTGCCTCAATATAGTCTAGGTAAAAAGTAAAGAAACAATAAAGAACAAAGCACCCTGACATCCACAATAACCTGTATACAGTTGTGACTGCACAATGCCAGAGTGAGTGACCAGGTACACGTGGTCACATGGGTCAATTATGTAGTTGATAATTAGGTTTCAGATAATACGTGGTTTGACGGGTTTTCTTAGATTGCAGTCCTTAGAGAAAGTGTAGGAGTGTCAATTTTACCCACATTCTCACAGAGTAATTAAATAAGTTTTTAGTCTTGACAGGCCTTCCTGTATTCTACATTCCTTATTCTAAAATGTCGAATTCAGTGAAAAGACTTTATATTATTGGATGGAAAGACAGAATTAATTACCTACAGACTGATTAGATTTACACTGAGGTATACACATGCTCTGATCCAGAACATAATGGGAATCTGCATAATGATGTGTGTTTTTACAAAATTTTCCAAAAAATTCTTGTACTCATTTTTATGCTGGGGATATCAGAGTCAGAGAAGCATACTTAGTGGCCATAGTGAAAGTCAAAATGTGAGCATTTTACTTTATAGTTAAGACATTTACTACATTTTACCATTATATAATTTGTATTCTTACTAACAATAATGTGAGATATGATCTAGAGATGAGACACAGCTCTAAGGCTGGGCATACGATGACATTTGGTGAGACCAGACCACCTAAAATGTAGTGTCTGCAGCAGCATAGATACAGAATATATTTTTTTAGTAGCTTAGTTCAAAGCAGAGTGGCTGCTGGATGGTTTTGATGATTACTTAATTTGTCCACTACATTTCAAATGCCATTCTGTTTTCCAATGAATTATTTAGTAGTGCACTGCTCTGTGGTCTTTGGAGCAAAATATGAAACCAAAACCAAATACAGAACAATAGGAAAGAAAAGAGAGAAAGAGAGAGAGAAAGAGAAATAGGAAAAGAAATGTGTGTTTAAAATTTAATGACAGAGCCCAGGCTTTCCATATCTCCTTTGATGTTTCTTTTTATTAAGGGCTCCTTTAAACCCAAATGGATTTATGAAATGATGAAGGGGAAGAGAAGACACTGCAGCCTCCATGAGGATCCCAATCATTCATAAGGTTTGTGCAGCAGCAAAAGATGTTTTTTTCTAAATTAAAGCAGGTGCTGCCTGGCATTCGTTGTTTCTATTTTTAGCTGGCTTTACAAGAAGAATTTTATACACATGGGGAGAGTATTCTAATTTACAAACTTCTTTTTTGACCCATTGATATTAATGGGTTGCCCTATTGATTGTTTCTTTGCTTAATTGCATTTTGTTGGTAAACATCTTAACTTTTTAGTCTTTCATAGGTACCATATATGTAAGTTTTGGAAATATAGTTATTCTACTTCGGGAAATGCTAATAGTCAATCCTGGTATTTCTTTTTTTT